GGGCCCGGCGCTCGCTGCTCCCCCCCCCCTCCCTTCCTGCCCCGCCAGGCGTGTGCTTGGATCAAGGGTCTGGTTGGGAATTTTAGGGGGACCCCACATCTTTTTTCCACCAAATTTTTGGGGGTGGGGTTCCTGAAAATTCCTGCCAGACCTTAAGGGCTTGGTATGACTTTAAGGGTAAACCCCACACTTTTTTTTTTTAATTGAAACTTGGAGTCCCTCCTAAAATTCCTACCAGACCTAAAGGGTCTGGTATGACGTTTGGGGGGAACCCACTTTTTTTTTTAATGGGGCCCCTCCTAACTTTCCTACCAGACCTAAAGGATCTGGTATTGTTTGGGATGGGGAACCGCACACTTTTTTTTTCTTTATAAATGTCAGTTTTGCTGCAGCAGGTTCTATACATCGTACAGATCTGCCACTTTACAGGCAGTTTAAGCCCCTCACAATATTTAAAAAAAAAAATATTGTTTCACTGTAAGCAATTTTAAAAACACTGCTCCTTTAAAAACTGTATTTTATAAAGTTTTTTGCATTGGTACATGTCCCCCAGGGCAGTACCCGAATCCCAATACCTTCCATATAAGCCTTCAAAAAGGGGACATTGATTTTCAGAGTTCTGGTCCTATAGACTTTCATTGAGTTCTAAGTTCTGGTTAAAAAATTTTTTTTCTCTCCATGTTCCAAAGTTCAAACTCAGGTGTGTTCAGCCCATCACTATTAGGGACTCCTGATTTTTCACAAGTATGTTTGGAATGAGCTTTCATCTTTGAGGCAGATTGTATTTAATCTTCCCTAACCCTTCTATAGGATGTTGCAGTGATTCCCAAGCCGGTGGATCTTGGGACTTTCGGGGATTGGGTTCTGCTTGTTTTATTCTTGATTCTCTTTATTCTTCATCTTGTCATGCGGTGTACTTTCTTTTCTCTTGGATTTGTGTCTTGTAGGTTAAACACTAGGGTTTGTGGTGTTAAGTGTTTTTCAAAATTTTGCTAAAATCTTTGAGGGCTTGGGCGGGATTGTAATGACAGGCCTGGAGGGAGACTGTGTTGGTTGATATTACCTGCCATATTGGATACACTCCGTATTCTTTGACTCTGTTTACAATATATTGTATATGGGCTGTATGTTGTTTTTCCTACCCTGCCTTGTTTTCATAAAGTATTTGGGAGAATAAAAAAAAAAAAAGTATCAGGCTTTTATTATTTTGCCTAGCATCCAATTTAGGATTATTTAGAGCTGTCCCCTCTCAGTGGAAGGGTGGGCAGCCTTCCTTATTGTTACAAAGAGACTGTACATGGCCATGCTTGCTGCACCAGGTCAGAGCATAAAGTAGAGAAAAATAAACCCTAAAATATTATAAAATATTTGAAATCTGAACAAGCTGCATTGTACTCACACGAAGGAATTCAACATTACAGCACTTCCTCCTAGTACGGAGGTTTCTGTCCAGCCTCTCCCTGCAGAACTAGATGGCTTTATAGGTGCCCATACACTGCACCATTATCGTACGAGAATTGCAGGAAATCCCACAATCGTAGAGTGTATGGAAGGCGTGCGACCATTTCTACTGTACAGTCGCACGTCTTCCATCGAACAAGCAGGTTTGAAAATCCTGCGGGAATGGTACAATTCTTGCCGAGTTAGTGGGCTGCTTGTTGGAACACACACCTTTTTTTGAGGACAGATAGCTTTCTTATGGTGGTATTTAAATCAACACTGGGGTTTTTATTTTTTACTATTAAGGAAAAAGTACCAAAAGAAAAAAGAAAACTGTTTCCACTATATTAAAATGATAAAACATTAACCAATTTTTTGGTAAAATATAAAAGACAGGGTGACGTCGGGTAAAAAAAAAAAGTTGAAGAAATAGGTCACCAGCACTTCAACTGTTCGTTTTGCACGGTGCCATCCGTGGAGTTACTGCAAGCACCATCCTTTCGTACTGGCCGGGATTGCTGAAAGGTGTGCGGAGAGCACCTTCACCCTACTGCAACTGGGTAAAAAAAAAAAGACACCAAACATGTGAAGCCTTAAAATTGCATGCACGAAACCTCAAAAAATGATAATACCCAAAATTGGCCATAGGCGACGCTTTAAAAGCTTTTACCGCTCATCAGTTTAGTGTTCAGTGATTGATGGCCCTAAAATTATTGCTCCCGGCGATATGCAACGTGTGTAGTGCAATTGTCATTTTTGCGTGCTCGTGCACCAGACGCGTATTTACGTTTATATGTGCATAAACGTGGGGGTCTTTTAAAACTTTTTTAATGCGACTTTTTTCGATTTATATATTTTTGCACTTGTTATTCCTATTACATAGGGTATAACAATCTCCCTATATGATAGCACAGGTACACTGACAGGTCCTCTTCATGGAGACATTAGGGGTCTCTAGGACCCCAAAAGAAGCTGATGAAGCAGAGATCTGCACACCAGCACGATTGGCAGGCTATAGAGCCGCCGATCGTGTAGATGTTAAACAGCCGGTAACAGCTCTTTACATTGCACAGGTTTTTTTTCTGCCCGGGGGTGCGCGCAAGCAGAAAGAAAAAAATGCCGTCTGGAGACGGCAACGTGCCAATGCAGCAGTGCCATGCGTCTTGTTTTTTTCCAACAGCCGGATGGCGATTGGTTAAACAGGTAAATGGCAGATTTTCAGTAGACAATAGATGCTCTAACATTGGAAAGGTGAATCACAGCGCAGGGCTGAGCATTAGAAAGTAGGTGCGCTTATATTCTGGAACAAAACAATTTAATGACTTGGCTGGAACGCAATACCAACTTGAGCAGAAGTCAGGGACATGTACAGCATAAACGCAAATTGATCATCTTATTACTAGCTAGTACTGTAGCTCACAGGCTTGCTTTCCTCACGTTGGAATCTTGCAGAATCCGCAATTTAAATGAAATGTAAGAAATTTGTCAAACCATTGTAATGTTAGAGCAGGATGAAAGACTCGAGACATTTCTGAAAACACCACATTAGAAGGTGCAACTCTACTGAGCACACCAAAAACTGGAATATTGTTACTTGGTGAATATGCCCTTTAACTCACTGCTAGCCATGCATACTTTATTATACCTGGACAGACAGAGGGGAATTTATCAGAATCTGGTCGCCATGGGCAGCTGCTCCAATCAGCATCCCATCTTTCATTTCCAAAGCTTAACTGAATGTAAAAGCTGATTGGTTACTCTGCTCCAGTTGTGATAAAAATACCCCCAATATGTTTTGTAACTTGGAACAAAAACTGTCACCTTTTGAATAGAGGTAGTTTTTACACAATACTAACCAAATTCCCAGCCCAAAAAGAAAACTTAATAGGATTTGAGAGAATTCAATTAGGTAACCTATATATAAACCAAATATTAAAAAAAAATCATAATTAGGTCTATGAATAGTTTATTAGAAATAACGTAGACAATTAAAAAAAAAATCCCCTTCAATACAACGTAGGCTTTCTCAGCTAATCAAAAAGAAATAAAACAGAATAGTGAATTAACATTGTTACTCTTTCCTTTTAATATATACTGTGACAGTGCAAATACAATTTGGTCTAAATGTACAGACTGATGAGAGAAACAATGTACAGCTGTCTACACTCTTCCAAGGTAGAGATGGAAAGGGTCCGATCAATTGTACAGGACTCACAGGTTATAAATGTGGGTGGTTTCATGGTCACTACCCTTTAGGGAACATAAGACTTTCTTCTACAGATCAACAAGGCTTTTGTAGGGCACATATCCGATTATGCCCATTTACAGTCAAAGCAGCATTTTATGTATTCTATTGATGTAGTGCTGGATATGGAAAGGTCCCAATATTGACCAAAAGGCTTTCTGGAACCATTTAAATCAAACCAGACTGATCAGTTTTATATCATATAATCAATTCACCCACAAAAATAGGTACACAATGCCATGATTTAGCAGGGCAAAAAAGTACTTTCCAAATAGCATTAATTTGTTTTGCATAGAGCTCATTAATTTTCTGGCACTAGGATTTTCTGACCTACTAAATGTAACTTTCTACCAGTTTGTCAGTTCTGGTAAGCTTCCATCACATCTAGTCAAAAGCACAGCTTGTTGTCCTCCACCACCACAAATTGGAAGGGAACTTTCACTCGCCATGTTCCTGAAAGTTAGTCTTCAGTAGATGATCCCAAGTACCTCAGCATGTCTGGATGGTTCTTTATGTAATGTTAGACCTTTTTTTTCAGAATATTCAAATTGAAGTGCCAAACAATTTTAATGTTAAAACAGATTTTTTTTAAATGTGTCAATCCTAGAACACTTACTCCACAAACACATGCACGGCAGTTATGATTTTACATAGCAGCTCTGTAACAAGAAAGGTTTAAGTATGTCCTGTACAATCATAATCTCTAACCCTGATAAGCGCCATTCGGTGATAGACAAACAAGGCTGACTGGAAGTACTCAGTAACTGTATTTACAACTTGGGTATCGGCAACTGTTGCAGAGTATTTCGAAATATCTTTTCCACCTATTCTCCCACCCCTTTCCCCAAAGCACAGGATGTCTCCTTATTCAAGGTCAGGCATTTCTATAAAAGGGAAAAAACAAAAAACATTAGACAAATTCTTCTGTAAACAAATAATTTATGTGCAGCTTGACAAATGACTGCAGGTACTCAACCACAATGGATTAAAAAAAAAAAATACAAAAACCATTTACAGAAAATAAAATGACTAAAACGTATAAATGGAATCTGCAAAGTCCTCTCAGACAGAAAATCTCATCCTATTCTTAGGCTGCATGCTAGCTCCGGCGCAAGGCTAGAAAGGTTCAACAGTACAGCACTGAGACTAGTATGCAGACCTGAATTGAGAATGTAAGTTTATATCCGAGGCTTCTTATACCTAAAGACAGGCAGTTGTATATACCGTTTCCCCGAAAATAAGACCTACCCCGAAAATAAGACCTAGTACTATTTTTGAGAGTTAAAATATAAGACCTACCCCAAAAATAAGACCTAGTTGTGACCATTCCCAGGGCCGGTGGGGGCATAAGGTGGAACTTAAAGAGCTGTGGGAGAGGCAGGAGAGAACCAGCGGTGCCAACGAAGCCAGCACTAGAGGAAGCGAGCTGGCACCGGAGGCAGCACAGCCGCATAAGCCGATGCCTCCTCTATGGCGCCGGATCTTGTCACAGGCGGAGTTCTACCACATGCACTCCGCCTGCGAGGAATCATAATGAAAGTGCGCTTCGCTCATTCTGGCCAGTGACTGGTTAGCAAATTCTCTTGGAAAGGTACGGCACCCCTGATTTCCCTGATCACCATATTTTTCTACATGAATAAGTGTGGATTGTTGTACATAAAAACAATGTTAATCCCCAACTGATGTTAACGAACCCTGTTAAACACAGACAAATACAGAAGATATAACTACTTACTTTCATCATCACTGTCTGGTGAATCCTAAAGAGAGAAAAAAAAAAAAATACATGATTAAATTTCTAATTGCAAATTATACATGTCTAACACAATGTCTTGTGGCCCTGTTCACACGTTTCCTGCTCACACTAGCTTGCACTCTAGAACACCAATTTAGCAAGCGCAAAAAAAGAAAAATTTTTGCATGTCTGCATTTCTCACACCACTTCACACCTGCATTGCGGTGTAAAACAATTGTGTTCTATGTGCCCCAAAGGTGACTGGTGGTGTGCAGTTGCCTAAAAACTCCAGTGACCACTTATGGTAAGAATGAGCCCTAACATGCATTGCCCAACGTGTGTCAACACAAGACAATGTTTTTTCATCAGTGAGGCCTGCTCACACCTGTGTCAAGTGGGGTGGTACTATTGTGCCACGAATAAACAGATCACATGGAATGTAGTTATTGTGCCTGTTTAAGACTGCAGCAAGTCTATTGCTTTTGCCTCACCTAGTAGCTTTGAGATGAAAGTGATGCGAGCATAATAGGATTAGAAGAAAAACCAAGAGATAAAGTAAAGCAAATAAAAATAGGTCTGTTAACATTTACAGATTCATGTAAAAACATTAAGAAAAAAACGAAAAACTTCCTTTTAGATTGATTTGTGACGCAAACAGCAGAAGGATATTATAGGACTCCCAGAGTAAATTCTAACCCCAGAATGTTACCCCAAATAAAATACACAATGAGGTCTGATTCAGATTTATCAAAACGTCCGCAAAACATTTTCAAAAGTCCTTTAGAAGACATACATCATCTGCGCCATCTACTTCTGGTAAGTCTACATCTTCATCTCCTCCCATGTTGTTCATCATCTGTCAATTGTCAAAATAAATAAATCGGAATCCAAAACAAAGCTTTCATGAACATTTCTAGATTACAGAAAAATATACGGATTCAAGCGAAATCTAAATAGTTACCTCTGAAAAGCGGTCAAAATTCGACAGATCTTCATCAGAGTCATCTTCCCAATCTTTCCAATTGTTAAAATCCACACAAAGCCAATTGAGCTGAAAGTTAACATACGTTCAGAATTACAAATACAGGGCAAAATGTAAGTGCCTCTAAGTAAGACAGCGAGCAACATTTTGAAAAGGATAGAGAACGCCATATACCTTTGCTTTCTCCTTTGTCAACCTAGGCCATGACTTGCCAGATTCTCCTTTTCGTAAACAACATAGGACAGATCTGTCTGTTCTTTTGCGTTTGGACTCCTGTATGAAGAAAACAAAATATTGGGAAATAATATCTACAGTTAGGATGTAAAGTAATGATGGGAGCTGCAATTGCTGACAACATTCTAAAATGCTAGTTCCCTGGCTATGTTGCTGTGCAGATTTACTGGCTTGGTCTTCAGTTAATGAACCAAAACAAAGGATACAAATCAGAAAAGTTAGTTTACTTGCATCATTATTCAGGACCAGTGATCTAAAACATGGAGGCCAAAAAGGATAGCATGACAAAACTAGAATTTTCAGGAATGGTCAGCAGTATCCATCTCTATGCTTCTCCCCAAGGCAGATTTCCTTCATTTCCTAGTGCAAGCCCCATGATAAAGCATATGGGGCAGGTGTTCGCTACATGTTCCCAGCACATTTAGGTATACTGTGAGCTGTTAAACATGCACCTCAGTAAAGTAGAAGTGTTAACTAGTTACAAGCTGGACATTTGAAATCACTGGTTTAAAGATGTTAGGGAGGCATCACGCTAAAGGTGCCGCAGGCCCCTTCCTTTGTTTAGAAAGTCTTCAAATCCGACAGATTTTCTGTCCATGCTACCCTCAGTCTTGACCTTATCAGTTTGCTCTGTTGTGGCATGTGGACGTTTACTGGTTGTTTCGGTATACACAAGATTGATATGCTTAGGCATGGATCTTTTGGATGTACAAGCGTCTGTGGTACCGGGTATGAAAAACACAGGAATGTAATATTTGAAGTAGAGGATTTTGTTCTTTAACGTAAAATCCTTTTCATGTAGGGAAAGTGCTGAAGAATTTCTGAGATGAAGGGTTGTGCTGCTGTCCAGGAGAATTAGACTCTAGGCAAAAAAATAAACACCTGCCACTTTAAGGACATGAACCCTCCCACTTGTAGCAAGCAAGGAAATGAGGGGAGGGATTTGTCTCAATGTAATCCGAGAAGAGGCTTTTTTACAGTAAGAACAGAACCAAATCCTATTTTCTCTATAGTCCATTGAGGGACACCGCTCTGAACAACATTCAAAAGCACTCCAAACAGAGGGAAGGGAACCAAAAGACGAACCAGCTCAGCAAAAAATAATTAACAGCTGCATGAAGAACTTTTCTGCCAAAACTAGCATCAGGGGTGGCAGAAACATCTTTACAAAACACCCAAAAGTGTGAACAGAAGACCAAGTTGCAAATTCGAGTGACAGAAGCATGATTTAGAAATGTCCAAGAATTACTAATTGCCCTAGTAGAATGAGCATAAACCGGAAGAGGAGGAGGAGTACCTTATCCCGCAACTCATAAGTCTGAATGAGAACTGGACGAATCCACTTCCAAATAGCAGATCTAGAAACTGAACAACTTTATAGGACCTTCTTATAGGTCACAGAATCAGAATGTCTAAGGAAGTTGTCGCTGACAGATAAGTTAACAACTCTCAACATCCAAACAATGAAGAGAAATTTCCTTAGGATAAACAGGAGCTGGACAAAGTGTAGGTGAAACAGTCTTCATTAAGGTCAAAACCACCTTGGGTAATAAGGAAGCCTTCGGTCTCAAAACAGCCTTATCCTCATGAAAAACCAATCAAGGTTCTCTACAGGACAAAGTGGACAACTCAGAAGGCCCTCTAGCTGAGGTACGGTGATAGATTCTAGAAGATCTGCGAGCCTTAAGCATTAGTAGGAACAGAATCTGAAATTCCTCTGTCTTTCAACACCTGGGTTTCAACAGCCAAGCTGTTATAGCCAGTGGCCGAGAAGCAGGGTGGAAGATTGGACCCAAGACTAGATCTGGTTGATCTGGAAAAGACCACGGATCATCTTCTAAGAAGCAGGGTGGAAGATTGGACCCTGAGATTAGATCTGGACGATCTGGAAGAGACCAGGGATCATCCTACAGCAGATGTACCAAGTTGACATACCACACCCCCACCAGAGGCAAATCTGGAGCGATGAGAATGACTGGAATTCCTTTGTGCTCTATCCTACAAAGCAGATGAGGAAACCGCAGGAGGAAAAGGCATACATTAGGGCAGGGGCACCCATAAGGTCTATTGAAAAGCTAATTCTGGTAGATCGCGATCAGAAGTTATAGTTGTCTGCTCCGTTTATCTTGGAGCTCAGCTGCTGCTGGCCGGGTGCAGTTCTCAGACATGACCAGCAGGTGGCGCTCTATCCTGGCCAAGCTCCCAACACTTTAAACCGTGGTTCACAGAGTACAGCATGCAGCGCTCTACTCTGAGAAGTCCGAGAGCCTGGGGCCACACACATCCGACAGTCCCGGGCCGAGTGAGTGATGTACTTTCTCAGAGGGAGGGGACATTGTGTACTGCAGTATCTCTATATATAAAAATCGCCGGCAGGTACTGCGCATGCCCGCCGCCATTTGAGTATATCTTGGTATACCAAAATATACTCCAAGATGGCGGCACGCATGCCCAGAATGCACTGGTGGCCAATACGGCCGCTGCTTGTTCTGCAGTCTTTGTGCGGTTTCGGAGACTCTTTGCCTCCGAATCGGAAACAGCATTAAAATGCGTTTCCATTCATGAAACAAATGAAAATTTGTTTTTCATTTTTTTCAACCAAAACTATTTTTTTTGCCCTGCACATGTCTATTACACACCGAGATTAGAACTTTAGGATTTTTTTTTAGGAGTTTGGCCAGTACAGGTAAGAGTCCCATAGTTTACCTTTTTTCTGAAAAGAGTGCTAGGTCTGACTAAAGGCCCATTCACAATAGTACAGTGCGTTCATCGCACTTGCTGTTCTGTTGCGGGAGGTGCGTTGAGGGGCCTTTCGTTGGTAGATCTCATTGAGCTGGTCATATAAAAAGTAGATCTTAACACAAAAAATTGTGGGCACCCCTGCATTAGGGTGTACTGATCCCACAGAGCTACTAAGGCATTCACTGCTTTTGTTGTTGGATCCCTTGCTCTAGATACAAATCTGCGCACCTTCTTGTTGTGGTGAGCAGCTAGAAGAATCAAATCTGCCATTCCCCAGCATTGACAAAGTTGCTGAAACACCTCCAGATTGAGCGACCATTCACCCAGATCCGGACATTGCTGAATTCAAATCTAACACCCAGACAGAAGATGGTTCCCGGTGAAAAAATGCCAGATGAATTTCCCATACAAATATCAATTACTAAAGATGGAGGTTCCTTGGAGGTTAAGGCCCACTCTCTCTTCAGTTGAGAAATAGACATGTCTGTTATATACAGATGAACTAAAAGTGCCAGAGTTCCCCCAGACTACTTATGGCCCCAACCAGTATGAAAGGAATTTTTTTTTAAACAGCGGTGGCACAGCATCCGCTACTGCAGGGAGCAGTATATCAGCAGAAATGGAGAACCACAATCTAACGGACTGTTCCAGCTCCAATATGAGTAAAAGTAAAAATGGTGACCTGAAGACCGCCACAGCCCGCTGTATGAGCCACGATACACTTGCAGAGAAATCCAGCAGAAATGAACTTCACATGCAGTAGCACAAACAAGTCATTAAAATTTGGTCCCCAGCCCCTTAAAGAAACGGCAGGAAATTGAAATAAAATTCAGTAAACCTCATAACAGCGAATAAGCCAGATATGATTAGTAAACCTTAAAGCCACAATACCCATCCTACAAATAAACTAAACAGTTACTCAACTCCAGGGGCCTGATCCATACACAATAATATGCATTCCCATAATAAAATGATGATGATCACGGTATTAAAGGACCACCACAGTGCGAATCATCACTAGGGAGACCAATGGCCTGCTTCCCGGCAACTGGAGAAACTCCCTGAATTCAACTTATCTGGTATGAATCTGCCAGTTTAGTTGGCTGGCTAGATAGATTTTCAGAATTCAACATTATCGGGTGTCAAACAACTAACACCTCAATATTCAAAGCTCAAAGAAACAAACTAAAAAAAATAAAGCAGAACAGTACATCCATTCTCCTTAGGACACTAAGGGAAACTGGAAAGTGTGAGGGGTTATGTTTAAATTGGCAGGCTTAATTTTTGACCAGCGTCCAATCTCCTGGAGGCAGCAGTATAACCCCAGGTTGCAGAAATTCTTAAGAGCTGTGTCCCTCAATGGACAATAGATAAAACTAGGTTTTTCCAACTACCCAGCCACATATAGGATGACTATATTGCTGTAAATCCAGTTTTCGCTACCAGCCTTTTGTCTTGTGTACCTGCTGGATTTTGGAACAGTATTTAATAGAAGTCAAGCCTAAAGATGGCCATACACAGATTATCTGCAGATTTTCTATGGTCAGATAGAAAAAGTGCAACAGATTCCTTCATCTACGCTAAACTGTGTGGACGGAGGAATCTCCCACTGGGCCAAGTTTCAGTATCTTGAGGCCCAGCTGGCTCTCAAAATACCTCAATGCCTACACCCAATCAGAATGTTCAGGTATTTTGAGAGCCAGCGGGGCCGACTAGCAAGATACTGAAGCTTGGCCCAGCGGGAAAATCCTCCATCCACACAGTTTAGCGTATTGGGGGGAATCTGTTGCACTTTTTCCATCTGACCATAGAAAATCAGCAGATAATCTAGGTGTGTGGCCAGCTTTAAGCTTCTGGCTGCCCAAAGACTCCATGTCGGTTGATAGTCTCAGCCCTGTGTTACAGGGCAAAAAATAAGCCCTGGTTTGTGTTCCAGTAGTTGGGTGGAAAATAAACAGCAAACTATGGTCCTTATGAATGCATTTTCCCTATGTGTCAATATGCAAAATTTCTACCTTTTTATATGAATATATCATAGTCCAATTTTCATGTCTGTTACATCATGTGAGAACTTAATGGTGTCCATAGAGTTAATGTATTCTGTAAAAGAGCTGTACCCATATACCTCTAGATTTTGAACCAGGGATCATACACATCTGAACTAGTGACATCATGCTGTTCCTTGGACTGTGTGACAGTCATACAATTTAAGGTATTTTACTGAAAACCAAAAAAATGTGTACAAAAGGTGTTCAGCATGAAAGACATGAAATATCTATTGGTAGTAAAAAAACTTTGAAGACGTCAACTCATCAAATCTGCTTGTTTAATTTGTTTTTTGGTAGGGGATTTCCTAGTTTATATATCCTATGGATGGCCTGATCAGCAAAGTTTGCTGATGGCCAAATCATACAAGCATTTGCAAAGTGCTATATGCAATCAAATGCAACAAAAAGTGCATAGTCCTACATATTGGGAAGCCAAAACATCTAGTCAAATCCATGGCTCTTTCTGTGCTTAGCCAACTCCTCTGGTCAAGACTTTATAATCTACAATTACACCTATGGACAAAGTACACTTCTCTTCAAATATGTGCATTGCTCTGTTCAGATGTTTCACAGCAGACAGGAGGCCAAACTGGAACTTTACCTAAACAGGGGTGAAGGCCTGATACAATAGCTAACCAATGTGGCCACTCATGTGGGGTTCTAGTGCATCCACTTACACACTTAGAAACATGTTAGCGCTACAGCCCTGGCACAATGATGACCCAATAGTTGGGCAATGCAGACAGCAAGATCCAGCAACTGTGGAATATGGTCAGTCTTCAGAGCATGCTGCAGGAGGAAATCAGGAGTGTGTGTGCAAAGGGGGTCTACCAATTCATGCAAAGAAATTGAAACCTCTTCTGGCCACATGTTCCGTTTATAGCCCATAGTGGTTTATATACATTTTATAAATCTCTTTAAAAAAAGAAAAAGCCTTAATTTTCTAGTCATGTAAATATAAAATATTACCTATTTATATTGCAGTGAATGTGACATGAACCAAACATTAAGTGCAGGTGTATCTTCCTGGTCAATATGAATGACTTTCACAGCTTTATAAATATGCTCCCTGGGGTTGGAATGTCCCAGGTCCTTCCCATTCCCATACATTCCTATTGGCCATCCCTACAAACAGGCTGCTGCACTGGCTAAAAGGAATGTGCATGAGGCAGGAAGGAGTGGGCAGACCATCACTTTCTAGAATTGTTTTGAAGCTTTGCCCAGGCATTGGCATTCCAGAAAAGCCTGATGTACAGAAAATGAGGCAGATATAAGGCCACCTCCTCTAAAAGTGCCTGCGCTTACCTGTCAGCTGCTTTTATAGTATTTAAACAGTCAAATACTTAAAAAAAACCAAAAAAAAAAACCACACACCACATATTAACACCGTAACAAGATCAACTGGAGAAGAAATCAAAATGTACTTACATTAGGGTCAATAGACTGATAAAGTTCAACTTCATTTAAATGTTTAACATTATCAGCTCCACCCAGGCAGCTGCAAAACAGACAAGAAAAATAATGGATCAGAGCTCTACAATGTGTTGGCCATTAACACACAGAAGAACCACATAGAATGTGATAGTTAACTGAAGATGTAGAGAAAGACATGTATACCATTTGTTTTGCTAGACATGTATACCAGACATCAAATTTTGTTAAAATGTTCAACATTTGCAGCAGAGTTGTATATGTGCCCTTGAATGTTTGCAGATGTTTTCTGCAAAAAAATTGTTTTCCGAAAGCTATTAAAAAGGTATCTTGGGGAATCGGACTCTTCCAAAAGTGCAATTCCTCCGAGCTGTCAGCGGTTGCGGCTCTCTTTCCTTGCACTTACATTACTGCTGTGTATGTCTCACAGGATAGTACTGACAGCTGTAGCATGCACAAAGAGCTAGGCAAGCATTACTGAAGGGATAGCTTTAGTAGGCGAACCATCGATATTGTACTACATAACTGCTCAGGCTTTGTTTACAAAATGTCAGTTATGTGAATATAAGCAGGCACAAGCTGGAACTCCTCTGCAGTGTGAGATGCTGCATGTACTGGCGTACTCAGAGTTCCCAGGGCTAACTAATCCATGCGCATTAAACTGTGCACATGCAGGTTTAGGTGTATGAGTACATTGCACCTGTTTCCAGACCATGGACATAAGGCCCCGTTCACATTGAGCGGTTCGCAAGTCGCGCAATTTGCCCGACATTGCGCAAATGCTTGCATTGAGCTAGCTTGAATCGCGGCAAAATCCGCTACAAAAAGGGTCCTGCTGTAGTGACACGACCCACAACAGCAGGATTCTTTGCACCATTGCCAAGCATTGGAGGGCGATATGGCGCGGTAAATAGCCGCGATATCACGGGAATGACCGCGCGATAAATCGCTCAATGTGAACGGGGCCTTAAGTTAAGAAAAACATTTTCTTAACTGGGCCATGTACAGCAAAAGCATGGGTTAAAATAGGTTTTCTACATCTGGCCCACTGTACTTGTGCCCATTTACACATCACAAGTACATCATGGTATGGAACCAGAAAACAGATTACCTGTTCCAATAAAAGTATGTAACTTTGTATACAGATAAGTGTAGTGAGAATTATATTTACTTACCACAGATCTGCAAACCATTACAACCACACATTCATAAACATTTTTTTGCTCTATAAAAAGGTTACAAGTTAAAACACACGATACATTTTAACAACTCCAAACCCGATTATTCCCCTCATTTCATTAACACACAAAAGTGACTATTGTAGAAAACATCATTTGAAATTGTTTTACCTGAAGGTTACTTTATTCTTCTCAAAGTCTATTTTTACTTCTTTGCTGTCCTCAACACAGAACTCCACAAAAACATAATCCCTCCTGTCGTACCACTTTGTGGATGCTGGTATCCTGTGGCGGTGCAAGATAATGAGAAAAAGAATAATAATTCACACAATCTTTAAAGACAATACAGCTACCCTACATTATACTATGAAATAGAAGCATTGCTAATTCCCATATTACAAATACATGGAATATGCATTCATTGTAATTTCTTACATCAAAAATTATTATATTTGGACGAAAACGCTCTGAAGGTAAACCATGTTTTACTAATGTTAGTGCTGTTAGTAACTTACTCCCAAGTACTAAAAAAAAGCCACATCCGCCTGGAACCACTAGCACAGTAGTTATCCCTTTTCTACATAAAATCTAACTTCTCATCACCTACAATTGTCACTGGCTGGCATGCTCACTTCTTACACTAGAGGATACCGCCCAAACTTGGAGGTCAGCAAATCAAACCAGCCAGGGCTACAGGGGACCCAGGAGATTATCACTCAGAAGTGTAAGTTCCCCTGTAGACTTAAAGAAAATATTTCAGCACTGGTGCAGTTTATCAGCGCAGGCAGCAGTAAAGGAAAGTATTTAGTCTTTTTAAAAAAAATGTAATACAACATGGTCCCTATAAAATAAAAAAAAAGGTTTCTTTGCCCATTAAACAACAACAAAAAAAAAAAAGACGCTTTCGCTGGAATGAAAACGTGGCTTAGTACTTTTCCACCACAAGATGACCTTTGTCTTTCAGGATGAATGACAGCCAGCATTATTTAACCTATTGGCCCAAAATGTCATGGAACTGCCCTCAATCTGCGACTGGAAAGTAGGAACAGCAGCACAGTGATGAGCTCATCTCACTATGCTTTCTTTTTATCTCCATGCCGCTGCTTCTTTTCATTTTGTATCCACCTATTGCAGTCTTTGTACAGCAGAACTCGCAATCCAATTGAAGTACTTACACTGCTTTCATGTACACCAACAAAAAGTGCATCTAGTGTGTACTAAAGACCAGTGTACAGCCTTATACATTTGGGAAATTGAAGCCCGACACTGACACAAGTACAGTGGGACAGGGACCCAAAATGGAGGAAATTCACCCTTCAGTTTGTAGACCTGGGAGATGGTCTGATGAATCCACCTGCCAAAAGTGGGGCAGGTGGCTAGTTGCCCCATCCAGGGACCCTCAGGGATGACAAATGGAGTTACGCTTGCAAATGGAAGCTGTTGCAGAGAGGTAAACTCTCAACCACACAAGTGATGTCCAAAAAGTGGAGGGACATTTCCTTTTTTGTTTCAGTGCAGGACACAAAAATGGAAAAACAATGTCCTGGTCAAGGTGGAATACAGAGATCAATGTAAGCAGAAAGAAAGCCTCAGCACAGCCTTATCCTTGAATTACTATAAAGGGCTCTTCACACATAAAAGGTTGCTCATTCAGAAACATGTCTATTAAAAAGGTACTTTATAATATGAGGAAGCCACCTTCGACGAGGGAGCCACCTTGCAAGTAAGAGCAGAGGGTTATATCTGAGTGATGCAAAACGTAGCTTCATAAAGGCCAACAGAATCAGATTGAGGGCCCATGGATTCAACAGAACACATACAGGGGGGAAAAAAACAGGCCTTCCACTTAGTGAGGCAAGTGGTCTTTTGAAGAGAACTGCCAAAGCAGGAATCGGATCCTTGACTATACTCAAGGCCAGATGCAGGCCAAAGCCACACTGGAGAAAAGGATAAAATGCACCCCACGCAGTACATCCTAGCATGGAACTTCCCAACATCGTACTTAACAAAATGTGTATGTGTGAGAAAGTGGATCTTGTGGGAGGTCGATTACCTAGCCTTAGCCCTCGTTCACACCTGAACGCTTTGTAGCACGTTCTACGCTCGATGAACGCTCTACAAAACGCTCAAACATCTAAATCCCATTGCATTCAATGGGTCTGGTTCACACCTTGGCGTATTTCAGCCCGTCCCTAACGCGCTACAAAACGGCCCACGCCTGAAAAGGTACATGTACTACTTTGGGCTGTTTTTGTTGCGCGTTTCCATTGGGATACAGCCAAGTAGCCCTCAAATATGCGCGTTGTCGCGCAATTTTTTTACCGCGATTCCACACGTCACACACATGCAATACGCCTAGATGTGAACCAGGGCTCAATGAGATGACTGCCTCTGTCCCACAGGACCTGGACTTCAACAGCTATGCTGTTAATGCCAGCGACTGAGAAGCAGGGCGGAACACCGGTCCTTTTGAGAGTAGGTCTGGATGACCCAGAAATGCCCATCATCCAGGAACTTGACTACATCCATGTATCAGACCTCCTGGGCCAGATGGGAGTAATGGAATTACAGAACGCCCTCCTTGGTACTGCAAAGGAGAGTCTAGAGTTTTAGTGGAGAGAAGGCATAGATCAGGCTGAACCAATCCCAGTGTCACCAAGGCATCTACAGCAAAGGCTTGGAGATCCCGGGCGCCGAGACAAACCTGTAAACTTGTTGAACCTGGACGCCAGGAGGTCCACGTCCGGCATTCCCCACCTGTGACAAAGGGTTCAAAAAACCTTGGGGGGGGTCAAGGGATCATTCCCCAGAGTCCAGAAACCAACAGAGGTAGTCCACCTGCCAATTTTCCACCCCTGGAGTGCATGGTGGACAGGACAAAATCGGGTCCGCTTCTCTATAAGCTTTGTCAGGAGCCTCCCTGATGTATATGTAAGCCACAGCCGTAGCAATGTCTGATTGAATCCTGTACAGAGGACCCTGCAACAGGGAGGTCCAATGTTGAAAAGAATTACATTTGGGAAATTGAAGCCCGACACTGACACAAGTACAGTGGGACAGGGACCCAAAATGGAGGAAATTCACCCTTCAGTTTGTAGACCTGGGAGATGGTCTGATGAATCCACCTGCCAAAAGTGGGGCAGGTGGCTAGTTGCCCCATCCAGGGACCCTCAGGGATGACAAATGGAGTTACGCTTGCAAATGGAAGCTGTTGCAGAGAGGTAAACTCTCAACCACACAAGTGATGTCCAAAAAGTGGAGGGACATTTCCTTTTTTGTTTCAGTGCAGGACACAAAAATGGAAAAACAATGTCCTGGTCAAGGTGGAATACAGAGATCAATGTAAGCAGAAAGAAAGCCTCAGCACAGCCTTATCCTTGAATTACTATAAAGGGCTCTTCACACATAAAAGGTTGCTCATTCAGAAACATGTCTATTAAAAAGGTACTTTATAATATGAGGAAGCCACCTTCGACGAGGGAGCCACCTTGCAAGTAAGAGCAGAGGGTTATATCTGAGTGATGCAAAACGTAGCTTCATAAAGGCCAACAGAATCAGATTGAGGGCCCATGGATTCAACAGAACACATACAGGGGGGAAAAAAACAGGCCTTCCAGTTAGTGAGGCAAGTGGTCTTTTGAAGAGAACTGCCAAAGCAGGAATCGGATCCTTGACTATACTCAAGGCCAGATGCAGGCCAAAGCCACACTGGAGAAAAGGATAAAATGCACCCCACGCAGTACATCCTAGCATGGAACTTCCCAACATCGTACTTAACAAAATGTGTATGTGTGAGAAAGTGGATCTTGTGGGAGGTCGATTACCTAGCCTTAGCCCTCGTTCACACCTGAACGCTTTGTAGCACGTTCTACGCTCGATGAACGCTCTACAAAACGCTCAAACATCTAAATCCCATTGCATTCAATGGGTCTGGTTCACACCTTGGCGTATTTCAGCCCGTCCCTAACGCGCTACAAAACGGCCCACGCCTGAAAAGGTACATGTACTACTTTGGGCTGTTTTTGTTGCGCGTTTCCATTGGGATACAGCCAAGTAGTCCTCAAATATGCGCGTTTTGTCGCGCAATTTTTTTACCGCGATTCCACACGTCACACACATGCAATACGCCTAGATGTGAACCAGGGCTCAATGAGATGACTGCCTCTGTCCCACAGGACCTGGACTTCAACAGCTATGCTGTTAATGCCAGCGACTGAGAAGCAGGGCGGAACACCGGTCCTTTTGAGAGTAGGTCTGGATGACCCAGAAATGCCCATCATCCAGGAACTTGACTACATCCATGTATCAGACCTCCTGGGCCAGATGGGAGTAATGGAATTACAGAACGCCCTCCTTGGTACTGCAAAGGAGAGTCTAGAGTTTTAGTGGAGAGAAGGCATAGATCAGGCTGAACCAATCCCAGTGTCACCAAGGCATCTACAGCAAAGGCTTGGAGATCCCGGGCGCCGAGACAAACCTGTAAACTTGTTGAACCTGGACGCCAGGAGGTCCACGTCCGGCATTCCCCACCTGTGACAAAGGGTTCAAAAAACCTTGGGGGGGGTCAAGGGATCATTCCCCAGAGTCCAGAAACCAACAGAGGTAGTCCACCTGCCAATTTTCCACCCCTGGAGTGCATGGTGGACAGGACAAAATCGGGTCCGCTTCTCTATAAGCTTTGTCAGGAGCCTCCCTGATGTATATGTAAGCCACAGCCGTAGCAATGTCTGATTGAATCCTGTACAGAGGACCCTGCAACAGGGAGGTCCAATGTTGAAAAGAAAACCAAACTACATTAAGCTCCAGGATGTTTAATCATGGGCCAAGATTCCAGCAATGCCCAATGTCTCTGAACCAACAGGCTCCCCAGGATTACGTCCCATCCGGAGATTGGAATCTGCCGTGAACAACTTCCCAAACATCGTATGGACTTCACAAACTCCAGCTTTGTGCTGAATATGCACCATGGCAAGCTTGCATTTTGCTGGGCAATTGGAATGGGGAAATCCAGGGACCAAACTGGTTTGTTCCACACAGCCGGGATGTTAAGCTGCAAAGGCCCTGAGTGAAGCCAAGCATTGGGTACTGCCTTAAAGGAGGCCACCTTCAGGCCCAAAATCTTCATGCCAAAACGAATGGTCAGGATACCCCCGGGATTTTAGGACATGAGTCCGGCTTGTGCTTGGAACCCAAGGCCTTGGAAGGATGAAAGCAACTTTTCATGAAGGAAGGGAATAGGAGACTTTGTTACAGAAATCTTGGACTTCTGCAGCAAGAAAGTATTC